AACAATCAAAATGGCGAAATATTTTGAGAAATTCTCTCATAGTTTTCATGGAAAAAAGTAAACAAATTTATAAATTCAAAATTCTCAAAATCCAAAAACAGCCCTTACAAAACCTATAATTTTTATTCAACATATTGCTTTTTTTTTTTTTTTTTTTTGTTTATAATAATATTTATAATTATATAAAATGGCTTTTTGCATTCATTTTTCTGCTTTTTTAAATTGTTTAATATAGTTTATATATTTGAAACAAGATAATATTCAACATTGTGTTTTCGCTTCTATTAAAAAAATTACCATTTCTTTTTTTCTAGTTAGAATTTTTAGGTTTTTATTTGATTAAAAATGAATTTTATCATTTGTTATTATATCTCTTTGCAAGTATGTTTTTGAAAATATATTTTTTTACAACTTGAGAATAGTATATATTTGTTTTTAACTTTTGTGTGACTCTTATTGTTTAATTTAGTTTTTTTTTTTTTAGTTTTTTTTTAAATAACTGTAGGGTATGGTAAATAATAAGTTGTTTTTAAAAAGTTTACGACTGTTTGCTGAGGCAAAATTTAACGCAGATTTCGGTTCGGGAAAAATTGCAGCTAGCATGACGATTTAGGTTAAATGATAAAAATCTCTTTTTAAGGATGTCTTCGAATAATGATGTAAAATAACCTGTAAATTTTGAAATTTTATTTAAAAACAATTCAATAGGAAACTTTTTACAAGGATATGTATTCTTATAAAATGTCACATATGTCGGTAAATTATACATTTGCAACACTATTTTAGAGTGCTTATTGTTGTTTGATTGTTAAACATATACAGAGAAAAATGAATAAATCAATGAAAAAGAAGTGTTACTTTTGTACTTCTAGCACATTTCCTCGCCAAACCCGATACTTTATTTTTTTTAATTTCGCTTACATTAAAATGTCACAGCTCAATTATATGCCGCATTTATAGTGTTACAATTTAAAAAATTCTAATACTGGTATAGTTAAAATAAGAAAAACACTCACATATAAAAATATAAGCATATATACACTTAAAGATGTATAGATGCGCACAAATATAAATTGCTAACAATTAAACATAATCTAGGATCTGAAAGAAGATCACAAGATCTTGTCGTCAGAACCTTATAAAATACAAGCAAGCAAAATAAAGACAAGTATAACATACAAAAAACAAAGTAAAATTAAAAATTAAACAAGTAATAAAACCAACTCAAATAACAATTTTCTAGATATTAGAAATATCTAAGTATATTATTAAGTGAAAAAATACATTTTTTTAGATACAGCTTGAAAAGATAAATGGAAGTTGGTTAATCGAGGTATCGCAGAACAATATTATTCCATATATGGGATCCTCGATAAGCAATACAAAATTGATTAAACTTTGTGTGACAAAACGGATCATTTAAAAAGTTTATGTTTCTCATATCGTATTTGTTTTTAGGTTTGAATTTGAACATATTATTAACTGCAGTAGGGGGTAATTTATATCTCCATAAATATACAAAACATAAAACTTTAAATACATTGAGTTCAAATAAATTTAATAATCTCATTTTAGTAAAGGTTTTAAACGTAATGCAATTAAAAAAAGTAATAATTGCATTTTTGTATACAAATGGAAAAGAGTTCATTTGGTTTTATTAATATTTAATGGTAGTTTATTATATCTAAACCAGTTTGGTATATGTTTTAGTTTTTCATTCATAGTGGTAAAGATTTCATTTATTTCTCTTCAAAAAAGATATTGATTACTTTGTAAATGGAGATGTCCTAGATCTACAAGTAGGAGGTTACATTACTGCTGATAGCCCATTTTTGAGATAAAAAATGCTTGTCTTTTTAAATGACTGGCTGATATAAACAAGTCTCTTATATCAAATGTCTTTAAATAAGTCACAACTCGCAGTTTTCAAAAGTAGCAAAAAGAAACATAACGAATGAAATCATTTAATGAATTAATATTTCAAATATATAATTAATTAAGGAAAGTAAAGACCGTTTACATAAGATGAAATAATTGCGCGAAATGAATTTTTTTGTCGATAAACATGCACAAATAAAACATTTCTAACAATTAAGCTGATGCAGCGTTTAGTTGCAGCAAAAAAAATAGTTGGATTTATTTCAATTTGTTGCCAATCACCACAAGCGAACACCAATCAAGTTTTGAATATTATATCACGTGATGTCAATTATAAAGTAAGCGTTTTTTACTTAAAAATAAGTTGTTTTTAAAATGGCAAAGTAACAAAATTCTTAAACTGGCGTTCTTATGATTTTCTAAAAACTCGCTTTGAATATTGGCAAGCATTAGTAAATTTATCAAATAAGAAACAAGACTTTAATCAAAAACTTACAAATGTAAACTTGCATATTGTTAATTCCTAGTTACCTTTTCTAAGAAGATTTGTATTCAAGTGGCCACACGAAGTTTAATCTTTTTGTGAAAAACCCTACTTGGTGTTAAACCTGCTGTTCGTTCTTTGCAGAAGCAGTTCAACAAATATTTTCATATAAGAATATAGCATTTATTTACTTGTACTTACTTATAAAAAACTTTATATTAAATTGTAACATCACATCTTACAGATAAAGACAGAAATGTTATAATTAATTCATGGATAGAAAATCATGCTTCAAAGTAAAAATTATGCTAAACAAGTTATAATTGCTTTTAGTTCAAGATACAGCGAAATCTTATTGCAGCCATTTGTATTGTTGACAGCAAAAAAAAAGTAACGCAAAAAAAGGTAAGAGGAAATTAGAATAGCGTTTCTTCAATTAAAAAAAATCGCTTTACGCGAATTTTTCGTCCTGTGTAAAACGGCTTTAAGAGGTTAAACTTTAAAAATTAAAAAAAAAACTTGAAAAAAGTTATTTATATTATTAGTATTAAATAATACATTATGTTAAGTATAAAATGTTGCTATAACTACCCAAAAAAGTGTTTGTTGAGAAATTTTTCATTTAAAAATAATACCATAAATCAATTAAAGATAAAATTGCGTGCAACAGTGCACAGAAATTTATTTTTATATTTTTTTGAAGTTTAAAATTGTTTTATTATTGTAAAACTAATAAAATCCGATCTTTAAACTCTGCTATAGTTACACTCTTGAAAATTTATGTTACAAAAATATTTTTATGAATGATCAGGACAACGTTCTAATAAAACTATTCAAAAGAATGATGAGAAGAAATTATACACTTCATGTTTCCAGAATGTTATAATTTATGGCAGTGAAACACTGGCAATCAAGCTCAACAATGTTTAATATTTGAAAATATAAAAAAAATTAGGAAGATAATGGTCACATGGGAGTGTTGTGTGAAAATATCTCCAAATCATTGTAGCTGGAAGAAAAACTGAGATGAGTTTTTTATCTCTCTCCCTCTCCCTCTCTCTCTCTCTCCCTCTCTCTTTCTATATATATATATATATATATATATATATATATATATATATATATATATATATATATATATATATATATATATATATGTATAATATATATATATATATATATATATATATATACATA